CCATTTTATGTTGTTTTCTGTTGGTAAAAAAGTATCTATTATCGGTCCTTAACGGGTAAACTGATGATAATGCATGCTTCATTCTTAATACGGCAATTGTTTAACAAAAGATTTCTCTCTCATGCTAAATATTGTAGTTTACTATGGAGAGTAACGTCACAGAAATATATTAGGACATTACTTATGCTACAAAAACGCATTGTGCATCTTGCGTGTGTTTTTTATGATAGCGATTAGTATTAGCGATTAGTCCAGTATTAGCCCAATTCAATGTTCTCCCATTTTGTTGCACTTATAAGTTTAACCTTGCGATGAATTATAAAGAATGCGTAAAACGAGGCCACGCTGGATTTATTCATCGTTGGGACTTAAACAAACCACATCATCCCAGTTATGACAATAAAGAGCAAAATGTGGGCTGTGCCTTTTTTGCGAACCAATCATTGAAAAGACTGGCTGCCATACCGTATATAACTGTTGCCTAATGATCTTGAGGGGGAAAACATTAATCTAAATATCACTTCGCGTCGAATGCTAAAGCAGTATTTTCATAGCTGTGAGGTTATATGTGAGTAATTGTATGCCGTACATGTGTTTACTTGTTCTTGCTTGTTTCTTAGGTACGGTACATCTTCTATTCTAGATGTGTGTGAAAGTTTTCTTACCTGCTCTTATGTATTTGGAAAATGTGTATGGTTTGACTATGCTACATGTTTTTTTTTACGTATGTTCGGAGAAGTTGTGTGCTGTTTCCAAAAAAGCAAGTCATTTATTTGAAATTGAAATATAAGTGATACATCGCATGTGTTGACTACAAACACAGAAGGAGGTCTCAAAGTCACAATACTGTGAGCGAAACCTCCAATAAAATCCTTCATTAGAGATACAATGCAATAGCAAACAGCGGTAGAATACAAAATTAAAGATATGTAAATGTACAGATAAGTGCGTAACAGCGAATATGAGATATACGAAATGTGTAGATAAGTACAAAAAACTAATACAAAAATGCAATAGCATTTACTCAGTGTAACACCAAGCGTTATAATGGTAGTAAAAATACATTTAGATACGTAAAATACAGATAAGCACGATGCGTAGAAAAATGCAGACACAAAAGAACAAAAAATTCAGTAACGTACTCTGTGTAATATTAAGCACGACAAGTTTATTAGGTGCGAACGCAAGGTTTATTTAAACATTACAAAGAATCTACTTTTTATCTCCAAAGGTAAAGAATTCCACAAAAGTACAGACGAAAACTTTGCGGTAATTTTGCCATAATTTGTCCTGGGTTTAGGTAAAACAAAGTTATTACTTTTATCAAAACGAGTAGATGACCCCTGAGGAAACTGACTTGTGTTTAGTAAAGGAATGCTAAGTTTTTTTTTATTCAGACATTTGTAGAGGAAAATTCCGAGAAAATATTTGGCCAGCTTCTGAACTGATAAAATTTTAGGTGAACAGAGTAAGATTGATGCATTGGAGGTGAAGCTACTGAAGGTTAGTATTCTCAATGCTTGCTTTTGAAGAATCTGGGAGGGTGATAAATGAGTGACATACGTATATTTCCCAAGATGAAACGCAATAGCCTATATTGCTGTTAAAGAAAGCGTAGTGAATTAACAACAATATATCGAAAAGAAAGAAGGGGCGAACGTTTCGCAAGATTCGTCGGCAGCAGAAAACATATCGAGATCAGCACTTGTATTCGTAATACTGTTGATAACGGTGAACGCTTCTTCGGGTGACGTCGGACAAAGAAAAAATGAATGTGGTAATCGTCAACAAGTGTGTTCTAGGAAGGCTTTCGACTGGGGAATATAAGTGCCAAATGAGTCATCAAAAGGGTTCGTAATATCACATGGGTTCTCGATCACACGATTATCTGAGTGAATCAAGGTTATATCTGAATAAACCGTGGTCCTGCCAAGAAGCAGATTTACAGTTTTTACAGTTCTTGACCCCTGTTTAACGTCAGTTCCGGCTCGCTTTATTTTATCTTCGAAGTTATTTAATTTAGCGGCCTTAAGTAACTGAACTATTGTGTTTGAGTATTTCTTATAACGCTCTTGAAGGCTAAAGTTGAAAGGGGACTTTTTGTCTTTAGTTAAAATTATTCTTTTTCCGCAGACATTTTAGTAGGTAAGTGTCAACCATTAATTAGGTTAGACGAGGTACTTTTTTTCGCTTGCTACTAATGTTTAAGCGGCAATGACTGCATTTGAACTGATAGAGAAAAAATCTAAAAATCTCAAAAAATATTTTAAAAAGAAAATAATATTTTGTTATGTTGTAAATTTCCAAAACACATTTCAGTGTTCTTTTAATTCTTTTTTTTCTTTCTTTGATAGACAAACTGTATACCGATGCGCTGCAAATTTTTGTGTGTGTTTGTGTGTTGAAGCTTGTGATGGATAGTCTGTATACCGATGTATTGCAGTTTTTTGTCTGGTCGTGTTTGCTGCCAAACTTTGTAGGGGCAGTGGCCTTTCTCAAGCCGCTATTATAGCGGCTATTTTGCTCCTGTTCTGGCACTTGTTTCAAATGAATGCTGAAATAAAGGATCAGAATCTGAATCTCAATCACACCACTTTAGTAGCCCCCCCTCCCTTGTTTGGTATTTCCGTAGGTTTTAACTTTTTCTGTTTGATACAGAACCAGCTTTGTATTTTACTTGTGTAGGTTTGGTTTTCCTACAGAGGGATTTCTTACTTTCTATTTAATTGCGTCCGATCTTCAGCTAGTCGGAGCTATAAGTGGCGATAGAACGAACAGTGGCGGTGTCTCTTAACGCTTAGTGCGGCTGCGTAGTATGTCTGAAAAGTGTTGGGCCTGCACCAATTCTCTCGTTGAAGTAAAACAAAATGTGTGGCCACCATTTGTTTTCGCCAGCAAAACTAGAAAAAACAGTATAGTTTTGTCCCATCTTTTACTCCCCGTGTCAAGAAAATCAGTGCTAGCAGCATTGTTGCTGCTGTTCGCCTGTCCGCGGTGACCCACTATCACATTAGCCGTACTTCATTTACGGACTCCACAGTCACCTATTTGCCCCTACCGGTAGATGCCACTTATTGAAGTTCTTGTGATCAGTTGGCAACCCGATAGCTGCTCGGCAAGCAGGGCAGGGACTCCCGTCAAATACTAAAATGACAAGCAAAAGGAACCATCAGCGAGGCGTATGAATAGGTCTCACGCTAGCCATCGAAAGCAACCCCAGGAAGCTGTTTCCGGATGAAAGCAATATGCTTCAGGAATGAAACACAAAGTTTTGAATTATGAGCAGGCATTTTATTGAGTTGCAGCAGAGGCCGTTGCCATTACAAAATGTCCAAGCAGACCTTTTTTCTGCATATTCATTCACTGGTGTATTGTTCAGATATACAAAATAAACAATTCGCAGTGTATCGAAGTACCTTAAAATACAATAGGAAAGTGTCGTTTAGGCTACAGTCATTGCCGTAGCATATTACATATGTACGTTGAAGGCTTGCTGGACGAGTATCTTGTACCGTATGACGCTGCAAATTAAAAGTGTTATGGCCCAGTCTCCCTAAACTATATTGAAAATAAAGCCACTATATTCATCTTGTTTTTTTAATCATGAATATCAAAGCCTGTTAACAAAAACAGATGACAATAGCGTGAATGAAGCGTTCATAAATGAAGCTTCTGATTGTATTTATTCGGATAAGACTCCATTTCCCGGGTTCATTCATTCAGGACACCTCATCTCTACCCGTACAGACCATGTTCACAATTCACCGGTACGCTTCTCTGTACGGCATATTTTAAATAGTAAAGGCCACACATTTACAGTTCCAAGCGGAAGCACAAACGTGGTGTAGTGCGCTCGAGCTTGTCTACTGTGAATGTTTATATCAGGAGAACCGACTCAATATTTTACATGCTGTTGCATAAGTAAGCTGCATTTGGACAGGTTATGCGCAGTAAGTGACTAGTCGCCATTAGTTCTTCAAACTACATAGCAGGGAAGCTAACTACAAAATTTTGAAAATGGTCTGTCGTCCCCATTTTTTTTTTGGTATAAAATGTTTACCCTCACATCTTCTTTTATTATTTAATTTTTCAAACGTCCTCCACCCACAATGGCGATATTAAAAATGAACGTGTTTTCAAACGACTCCATATACTGGCGTACTTGCGTGACCAATTCAGGTGTACTCACTGATATATAATATATAACAGCGATATTTCAACATTTCTTTACGTTCTGCAGGCACTTTGAGTATCTATCTATCTATGAATGATCTATGAATGAAGTATCTTTGAGTATCTATCTATCTATCTATCTATCTATCTATCTATCTATCTATCTATCTATCTATCTATCTATCTATCTATTCTATCATTCTTTCTATCAGTCTATCTATTTATTTGCCGGCGTCTGGGTGCTATCGTGACCACCCCCCTAACTTGCGGTAAACCAAAAATAGTATGGGAGGGTAAGGTCATTTGACGAATGACTCGCTGGTCACAAGCAAGCCGCGTATGTCGTCCAACCTTTTCCACCGGACTTGTGGCACATACCCGCCCATGGGTATGTTCCACACGTCTGACATGAATAGTCAGACATGGATAATTTTCAACGCGTGAGTAGGGTTAAAAAAGTGACAGATTCCTTTTTTTATCAATTACTAAAATGCGAAAGTGAAACGCATCTGCACAGTAGTGACGCAACGTTTAGTGTACATTCTGCCGCCACAAAGACGACGGAATCAATGCTACAGCGACAAACTACTATATGACGCGCCGAACAGCAAGCAGTTCAAAACTTGCAGCATGCACCTCGAGAAGAAAGCACGCATAATGTGGGCATACACAGGACGAGCGCAGGCTGACATTTGTCACAGCACGATATTTAAAGCGCGCAGTCCAAACAGGAAGAAAGAGGCACAAAACGAGCGCATTAGCACACAAGATAAGGGCGAACTGTCACAATGAACCTTTTTCACGGAAGCCTTCTGCGCACGTGCGCCGGAAGTGCCACGACGGCGTCACTAGCGGACAGCGCTCGAAATACTTTTGGTGACTCGGCCACCGAGAACGGACGTGTGGGCAAGTGCGTTGTGCGTGCGGGCTCTCCGCATTGTCAGTTGCTGTTCGTGTAGAGTGCGTCTGTTTTGTTTTCTTTTTTTCACGATGCCACAGCGATGTGCTGCCGTGGGTTGCAGCAATCGAAGCGGAAATTCTGCAAACGTGCGATTGTTTAGATTTCCTGCCTCGACGCGTCAGGCGACAAGACGCAAGAAATGTGTGCGAGCAATCCGCCGTGTCAACGCCGACGGATCACCTTGGAAACCGACAGATAACACTCGCGTCTGCAGCAACCACTTTGTATCAGGTAAAGAAGCAGTGATTTCATGTTCTTTATTTCTAGATGAACAGGTTGTTTAATTTTAGATCATAAATTCACGTGTTTCCGAACAGGGCAACACTAGAGCGGCGATCTTGCATTTGTTTACGCGCAGTGTTGGATCACTTGGCGTCACCGAACCGTGACACTAACAGAACTGTTTCAACATCACATTTATTCGCAGGAGTCCCATCACGCTTCATGACGCATCCGGATTACGTACCGTCAATTTTCAAGCATATGGTAGCGAGATGCACGGGATCCACTGGCACGGCGCGATCCACCGCTCGCTTCGAGAGATTAATGCGACGGCGAGGTATATATTCTGTTCTTGAAGCTCTTTTGATGTTCGGCGCTGCAAACAGCCACAAGGCTTGCGTTTGTACGTCATTTTATACCTCTAACGATCGTTTATACTTCCAACAATTTTAAATAAAACGATTACGCAGCACTCTAACCTACATCATTCTGCTGCCTCCATAGATCATTTGTTTATTAAAGGTAGAAAGTATTTCCATATTATAAGTAGAACTCACTTATATTTTCATTAGAAACTGTAATACTGAATGAAGTAAACATATATCTTCTAAATTTCATTCATCAGCCTCAAGCCAGACTGGTGCAAGCAGCCAAGCTACGTCAGCTGTTGCACAGAGGACCACACCGAGCATAGCAGCAAGCTCGAGTGCAACAATCCCACAACACCAATATAGACAGGGCATATCTGGACATTTTGTTGGTCAGGGGACACCGCGAAACAGAGGGGAAAGCCAAAGTGATTTACAAGATTGCAAACCACTTGTCAGGCCATCTACACCACCTGCGCCTCAAGGACCACCATCACGTGGAGTGGAAAACTCAATGCAGTCTGGCTCTATGATCTGCAAGGACACTACAACAGCATCTAGCATGCCAAGGGATCATGACAAGAGCTGCCAGGCTGATGATTTCTCTTTAAAGCGCATCATGCTGCTTCAAAGACAGTTAAACGCAGAGAAGAAAAAAGTGCAAAAGTTGGAAGGGTAGCTAAAAGCTACTGAGGATAAAAAAAAATCAATCGCAGGCACATTACTACGAGTTGAAGGCGACAACGCTGTGCCTCAATAACATGAAAGGTACCGAGGACATGTTATATTACATAGGACTGCCTTCTCTTAAAGTGTTTAATTCCATACTTGATGTAGTTATGGAAAGTGACCCTCAGTTCGCAGAAGATGTAAACAGCAGGACAATCAGTGCTTCCGAGCAGATGTTTGCCGTCCTGGTGCGCTTGAGAACAAGTATGGCAACGAGAGAGGTTGCTCGTAACTTTTCCAGTTTCAATAGGCATCAGTCAGTCGTATATTTTCGAAATGGGTACTGAAATTGCAAGAGGTGCTGACTGAATTAACTAGCTTCCCTACACTTGCTGAAGTGCAACAGCAAACGCCACCTCATTTTAGACGGTACCCGAACACACGCATACTACTTGACACAACAGAAATCCTGCATACAAAAGCCATCAAGCTTAACTGCCCAGAGAAGAACTTTTTCTCATTACAAGTTAGCGAATACAATAAAATATCTCATGGGCGCTACACTGGACTGTTATGTAAGCTTTGTGTCACCATTATATGGGGGAGGAACAAGTGACAAAGCTATTATCCAACAGTCTGCAGTGCTGGACTTGTTTGAATGTGGAGATGGCATAATGGTTGACAAGGGATTTCACAATAGACGACCTTCTGCCACCCGGTGTTTCCCTTCATATGCCCCCGTTTCGCATTCCTGGTGAAGCACAGATGGGTGCTAAAGATGTTGAAGCAACAAAACACGTTGCAAGTTCACGAGTTCTTATCGAAAGGGTCATAAGAAGGATAAAGCAGTTTCATATATTGGACACACCCATGCCTGTAAACATGCTATATATCGCAAATGCAATTTTCACTACATGCGCTTATCTTTCAAACTTCAGACTACCGCTACTAAATAATGGCAGACACCACGTAAGAGGATGAGAAAGTGGACAGTACTATTAGTCAGTGAACTGAAAAGGAATCTTGGCGGTCGCTACGGACTGTTAAAGTTACTTTAAAGAGCAAAATGTTTTTTTTTTCGTTGTGGCAAATAACACTAGCGCAAAACAGTGATAGTGTGGGGTTTTCTTCTCTTTTGTTAGTAATTCCTGTGCGTGCTGCATTTTACATATGTTGATGATGTATATATTCGCTCAAAGTGCCTTTTTTATTGGGACATGCATGCATTTATAGCTTTCTTATATTCAACTTCAGCTTATTCTTGTCAAAGTTATCAATGACGTAAAAGCCCTAAAAGCCTTGGGCGTGCTTGCGGTATGACATATACCCTGCGCCTGTCGTATGCAAAAATCTAAGGCGTCTAATACACCGTGTTAGCAGCTCTGGAATAACTGCTGCCTTGTACAAATAAATCAGTCCTTTGAGTATGCTTATCACTACTGCGAGATTGAGGCATATGTGCTCAACTGATACGCTGTGCTCGTTTTCAGAATGATTCGTCTAAATGACAAAGTCACACCAGGGTTTTTGCGTCACGCCTGGTTGTCCCTGGATCGGGTAGTAGTAGACATGATCACGTTTCAAGGTCACTTCATCATCTAATTATTCACTGCAGAATGCCCTATCATTACAAGCGTCGATGATTCTCACACCGGCTTTCGAAGCAGGGCATTTAACTTCGAGTAGTCGACGCTACGAAGCAATGCTGTTTGTGCACATGGACACCTGTCTCGACAACTTGAATTTCTTTTTCATACAGCTTCATCAAATGCACGTAAGCATCTACTGTCTTCGCCTCATTCTGTACCCCATACAACCTTGGGTCACCCTGGCGCAATACTTCCTTCTGGGAATACAGAATCTCTTTCACCAGCCCTTCAGGCTTCCGGCAGTGAAGAGCTCGACGAAAGTTAGATGCAGTCAGCCTGCCTGTTCTTTCAGCTCACCATGTGGGATTCCGTCTTTGTCCCAGTGCCTTCAGGCGCACTTCCTCCTTCTCAGCGGCGGTTAGGGGCACCAGCTTCCTGAAATACTCGTCGATAAGCTGGAGGAATTTCGGCGAGTGCAGGTCTTCTGTGTCACTTATGGGGTTCGTGTTTCTCAGTGGTGCTGGTTTTCCAGTCGTGTAACGGTTCCAGATGACCTCAGGTGCGTGTGCAGCCATCTGTTCTCGAGATCTTTTGAGACAGTGGTGTCCAATCCTCATGACGTTTGGTTGAAGTTTGCGTTTTGGTTTCTCGTGCACAGTTTTGTTAATAACGTGCTTCTTGAAGGTTATCTATGCTAGTGGTTCAGGAATCAGCTGGATCTGACCTGAAAATAAATAAGTTGCTGTACTTGTAAAAAGCTTCACAACTGCTCATATTGCATGGTTTTCAGCTGCTCTGACACACGGTTGTATTGTTATGTTTATATGAAATACACATCAAAGAGCATGTTGTGGCTCAGGCGAGTTGGTTATCTATGAAGTTAGCTTGTATTAGTGCAGTACATATGAAAACAAAAGGTGGAAAGACGTCTCTGTCATCTTCCCCGTTTCGCTTTTCATATGTGCCACACTAATAGAAGCTAACTTCAATAAAAAGCAGTTTACGTAAGTTCACAAGTGTTTCAGCAGAGCTGTAAAACAACTGCAGATGGCACATTAATGTTTATTCTTTGTTCATTCATCACATTTACCCACAACATTTGTAGTGTTTTGTGGCCTACTTCATAATCAAAGCTGTACTGAGTTCTGAATAAAGTCATTGGCTCACCTAGTGTTGGTGCCATCTATCTACATGGAGTGCTTGTGCAGGACGGCGTCTGCATGCCACGGATAGCAAACAGTAGAGAAGCAACGTGCTGGCATTTCTGGCTCAGGCTGCAGTATATGCAATGAACAAACAAAATATATTACTATGATGCTTGGGGAAACCTATCCGAGGTTTTTATTCACAGATCAGACCGTTCACAACTTCAAGTTGTCTAAAGCAGCAGCTTCATGTCAGTGAATGGGTTAATATTTGATGTAATAGGAAGCGCTTTTTACACGGTAAATAGTCTTATACCTTTGCCGCACGACCCCCTACTGATCGTTATTTAGCGTAAACTAGCCGTTCACGAACGATGACTTTGATAAAGATTATACTCAATCTACGTGTGAAACCAGCATTATCCTTTCGTTGCATTACACGACTTGTGAATGACTGCAACCGATTTCTTTTAGCAAGATATTCTGCAGCACTAGTATTTCACGCGCTTTACCCTGTTAAATCGCACGAATCTTTTACATCCGCGGCCCACTGGCACTTCCGGTCGTTCCTCCCTCTTGTGATCGCACACAAATTATATCTCGATAGCGACCGTAACACGTAGATTGCACCCTGAAGCTCAGCTCAAAAGGGTCATGTAACAGCAACTTGTCTAAGCGAGATCGTTCTTAGCTTCGCCATCGCCCTTGTACGTCTGCTAAGGAAGGTGCAAAAATAAGCGTGATAGATCATCAAAGGCAGACATACCCCGCAACGCAGACGCAATGTGCCTGGAGAACAGATGTGGTACCATCGTGATGAAGCACTGCAACTTGTTTGTAGTGCCCTGCTTTCATAGAGCATAAGCATGTGCTACGCAGTACGACGAGGCTGAGGCCGGTAGGTTGGCGCTGTGTCGTACACTCAATGCGGCGGACATACCGTTCTCCTTGAACATCCAGCCCTTTAGTAGCTGGCGATGCGACTCACCAAAATGATGGTCTATCACGTCACTCGTCACCTGCAGCACGGACGACAAATCGCTCATTCACTGACCAGCGCAGTGGCGGAGCTTCTTCATGTGTGCCACCGTAAACATGATCCAAACCATGTGCGGAAACACGTTGAATGTTCGCGAAAGTCAAGAAGGCTTACCGTATGGTGGCAAAAGTATTCCGAAAGGCAGACACGTGAGGCACAGTGAGCAAAGAGAAGGCGATACAAGCCATCGCTGTGCTAGGGTGGCTAGACTGGGTGCTGTTCACGAGAGAGAGAGAGAGAGAGAGAGAGAGAGAGAGAGAGAGAGAGAGAGAAACAACATTTTTGTGCATCCGGCGTGCGGGAAGTCCGCGCAGGGCGCGGGTATTCCCTATCTAAAAACTATAGCTAATAGTCCTATAGTCCCAGGCTCTAGATCTTGAGGATGTTGTGCTCTGGCTAGGCATTGGATACTCGGGCTCCTCCGCTCCCGTTGTCCGGGGCGTCGGTTCCCTTTCTCGTCTGCTTTGCCAGGGCCTCCTCAAGCCGCTGGATGGCCCTTCGTTGTGTGTTTAAGTCTTGGGAGCGTATCCATGCTCCCACCTCATCGGGATACGTGGCGTCCTGGCACTGCCCATTCCCATTGTTCACACCACTGTTACACCCGCCCCACATGATGTGGCGGAGGGTGGCTAGTTCACGTTCGCACGCGCTACACTTAGCGTCCACAAACATGTCGGGGCATACGTGCCGGGCCAATGCTGGCGTTAGCACGCATTCCGTTTGCAGTTGTCGGAGCTTCACTGCTTCCGCACGTGACAGTTCACGATGCGGGGGCGGAAAGGCTCTCCTGGCCTCTCTGTAGGCCGCCAGGATCCCTCCGTAGTCGGTGAGGGGATCGAGGTCTTCTCGTTCTTCACCGCTGGTTTCAGGGAGACGGGCTGCCGCGGTCCGGCACGTGATGAGATCACGGGCCACAGCGTCCGCCTCCTCGTTGCGGTTCTCGATGTCGGGAGCCAGGTGTCGTCCCATGTGGGCTGGGAACCATTTGAGGGCGATGGTTGGTCCTACAGCGGCGCCGCGAGCAGCCCGGAGAAGAGAACCGCTGCCCGATGGGCCCCGGAAGCCACCAGTTGAGCTTTCGCCTCTCGCCGCTAGGGTAGCAGGTGGCGCTCGTCCAACGTGAAAAAGGCCCATTTTCACTTTGTTTATCAGCAGCGTGCTTCTTTAGTTAACGCAGCCACGGCGGCGAGTGAAATCACCTTCCTGCTCTCCCGAGTCAAGCTCTAATAACAGCACGCAGGAGAGCACATATTGCGTGAAGGTCGTGCTCCCCGAAACGCGAGAAGCGATGCCATTAGAGAGTTTTAGAATAGCGCACAGCGAGTCCTTCCGGTGTGGTCGCTGCCAATGCGCATGCGTCGCACGCAAGTCAGCGTTCGCGTGCGCGGACCGCACGCAAAAGATCCGAAATTGCGTGCGGTAATGGTGGCCCGCATGTGGCCCGCAAGCGCTGGTTTTGAGGCTACGGTTGGTGATGGCGGTCCGTATGCACGACCTTCTGTATTTTACTGACCTGCCCAGCGAGCGAAGCGCCAGCACGCGCTTTCTGGATTGGTGCCTGCCGCTATGCGCCCTGTGGCGCTGCAACACACCTCATCCGCACCGGTTGCTAGCGGCCAAAACATGGGTCGCCGCGCTTTTTTTTTTTTCGTCTGCCTGCGTGACGCTGAGAGAAAAGCAGCAATGTTTACGCGTGCATACACTCTGGGGAATTAAAATGAATAAAAAGCTCTTTTTGAATAAACTTAAATTCATAATGACGATCTTTTGCTAGCGTCTGCTCGTGCCGA